ATGAATAACATCGACAAATAAAGCATCAGTAGGATCAAGACGAACTGTTGGATCAGTATCTTCAAAATAAGGACCAGCAGGATCCAATCCTATAATAATTAAACAAGTTTTGAAATAAATTTCTCTTAATAAATATTTACCAGTGATTCGACCCAAACCAGGAATTCGTGCTCCAGCATAACCTGCTGTTTGGGCACCGAGAGAATGGCCGATGATATGAAAGTCTGTTGCTTTGGATCCATGTTCAGCAATCAAATAATTAATAAAGAAGGCAATTTCAGCACCAACCATTTGAGTATTTGCTGTTGCTTTCTCATAAGGAAATCCATTACCTTTTGACCAATCAACCAAAATTACATTAACATCTTCCTAAAATGCATAAAATGTAGACAGATCAATATTAAAAACAATCCTTTTTAGATAAAAATACGCACTACTTCAAGCATAGCATTTTTCATATCTATCCACCATGGTGTATTCATGCTGTCAGCAAATCCATGAATGCAAACTTTTGTTGGTTTGCTTGAGCTCCATGCACCAAGAGTTGTGTAACGACTGATCTCAGTACGATTTTTACGTGTAGCTCTTGTGTATAAATAGAATTTAGTGTCAATCACACCACTCTATTAGAAAATAAAAAACAAACATGAAGAATAAGACACAAGAAAGACTTCATTATAAAATCTTACTGGATCAGGTAAAAGAGCGAATGGTCGTTGTAATGTTCCACCTAGTTTCAGATCAATACTTTATGAATATGTAATAAAACATAAACTTTCTTTTACCGAATGGTTTTCCCGTAGTAAAACATCCATATTCACCATAACAAGCATTGGATGCTCGTGTAGCACGAGCTATATCTATGTATGTTAGAATGATTCATACACAAAAATAAGATATACTAACCTGGAAGAAACTCTTCAGCATGAACTGCTAAGGTGACCAGACATATAAAATAAGCAACAATGCGAAACAACATCGTAGTCTATGTGCACACCTACTGGCTTTCTGTCTCAGACAACTAATGATTTTATTAAAATAATTTCAATCGTGGCCAGATTATTTTGTTAGAATAGAACGATGGGCTGAGAAAAACAACCATCTGTTTGTAACGAAATATAAAGTGTATAATAGAATTATTTTTTTATTTTTGCTTCTGTTAAGATAACAAGTCAGATAGCTCTATCGGTTTTCTTTCATTCCAATTTGTTTTTACAAGCATGAAAGTGCAAAATATCAATGCACTATTTAATTATATATATGAAATACTGAATAACCTTTTCAACACAAATATGATATGTATAGAAGAAAAGTATTAACTTTAGTTTGTATACGGAAACATCATCTTGACATGAATTATAATTTTTAAAATAAACCTAAAGTTTAGCATATAAAAATCTATAGATTTAGTCGAATTCAACGTGAACCTGAACTTTTTTATTGCAATCATCGTACTAAACATATTTTTTTGCAACAAATTTGCATTTTAACATCAATCTGTCGTACATTATATTATTTACATTCGCTGTCAAAAAGCCAAACTATCTTGTATGAAAAGTAATTCTAGATTTGCAAACAATAAAAAAGTGAAATATAACTGTTCTTGTCGTTCATAGTTGCAATAATGATTTCAAATTTCTATTCTATAAAAGAATTCAATGAAAATAAAGAAAGATATTCTTCTACAAACATTTTTCATCAACTAAAAATAACTTAAAATTCGCACATGTATAATATCTTGTTAGTACTTTTTTTAATATATGTTCACAAACGCACACACACACACAAACATACACAGAAAAGAAATGCACAACAAGCTAACAAATCAGACAATTATGAAAACAACTATGTTAATAAGGTCTAGGACGAACACCAGTTGGATTAATATAATTACCTCTAAAGAAAAGAACGAATAAAATTTACATATATTTTTTTTTTAAACTAATACTTGCCTATTTAAAGCAATACGAGGTAATTCTTTTCGCACACCGTCTCGTTGAACTGCATTACCTATGATAGGTGCTCCACTAAATTAAATAAAAAAAAAACCAATAATAAAAATAGATTATATTAAATATTTATTATCTTACAAAGGAATAGGTGGAGTAGGTA